TACATGGGACTGAGGATTTTTTGGGGATTTTATTGCAGCCTTAGTCGAAATTAACGTGGACTCAACTCCAATTTTAGCAAGTCCCTCAGCCTTGCTTTATGAATTACGAGTGCCGGAGATAAGAAAATTTGTATAGAAAACATTAGTTGAAACACTCTGACATACCATATATGTGTTTATGTTTGTATGCATGCATGTATGTATGTATGTATGTATATATTTATGTACATACCTGTGTGTCAATAATTTAAATGAAAAATCTCGTCTGAACTGAATTTTCATTTAATTAAATTTTGCTCTTGTAAATATACACATGCACATGTACATATATACTCACGTGTATGCATGTGAATAAATTGAAAATTGAAATTACTACAATTGCTGCAACAACAGCAAAAATGGCGCGCCAGCATGTGTGAAAGCAACAAGTGTTGGCATAATCTCTGCATATTACTGTTGTTGCTTTTTTATTTTCTGTTTACCTTTTTCTGCCATGCGATTGCTATATCGGCTGCGAAATGAAAGATATGAACATAGACTTGTAATTTTTACTGTTATTTTTTTTTTTGCCATTTTTTAAGTTAAGTAAAGTAAAGTCGACCAAGCGACCGATCCAGTGCACGCGCATAACAAAAACAATAATAATAGACAGACAAATGTCCATTTTACGGCAAACATAATTACATTACGTGTAACCAAATATGTTTGCTTGCTTGTGTGGGTGACTTGCAAAGCAATGTAAAAAAAATAAAAGCAATAATTATAAAAAAAAGTTAGTTAAAAAAAAGTTGAAAATCAACAATTAAATGGCAAAAAACAGCAAAAGTAATAAATAGGACATAATAAAAAGGTAATAGAAAACTGCAAAGCAATAACACAAAATGCTATTTACAGGCATTCGATAGTAAAAAGGGCAACGTTAGTTGTAAAAAAACACACCCACAACCGCCGGGTCGCCGCTTGCTTCACTCAATCATACAAACACCGAACTTGTTCGTCAACCAACTTATGTATGTATGTATGTATGTACGAGTATGTGGGTAGATATGAGTATGTAGATATGTCACGAAACAGTTATTAGTCGTTAGCTTAGATGACGGACTTTTAGTGTTGTTTTTCTTGTTGTTGTGCCTGTTAACGGCGAGTGTGTTAATTAGATTTCATAATAAAAATGCTGCCTGCAGGCAACCTCTGCCATGGTGAAATGGCCATGAAAAGCCGGTTCGGCGCTATGTTCGTGTTTTAATTTCCGCTTGAGCCTGTCTAACGGAAATGGGCATTAAAATGCTATTTTGTTTTGGTTTTTTCTGTAATACTTAAGTGTTTAAATGCATTAAAGATATGAAAAAATATTTGTTTCAGTTATTTTGTTTTTTTTTTTTATTATTTTTTATTACTAAAAAAAAAGAAAAATATATTAAAAACAATCTCATCATAAAAATGGCACATTTAAATTGCTTTCGGAAGATTTTCTTGGTTATATAACTTATTGGTGGCATAGTTCTAGGCGCAGTGGCCCTTCCACTTAAGCAAGTCGACAAATTTTCGAAAAATTTTAATTTTTTTGCAAAAAAAAAAACATATACAAAGTAATAAAAATACAAAATGTGTAAAATTGTTATCAATTTTCAAAATAATTTTCTTGAGCGCAGAAATTAGATAAAAATTTTGGTAATATTATGTATTAAGAACTGCATATTTGGGGATCCAAGAGGTTCTCTGGAGATTGCCGTTCAGCAGGGTTGCCAGATAGTGCTATTTAGCGGCAATAAGATTTAATTCCTTGGTTATGTTTGCCCGAATATGTATATTTTTAATTTTCAATGTTATATTGATATACATTTTTAGGAAATTTTAATTTTAATTTTAAAAGTAAAAATTATTTCCAAAATATTGTCTGTTTTAATTATGAGTAGAACTTTGACGGACGTGATGAAGGTAATGGACTAATAATTTAATTTAAAAGCTTTCACCTAAATTATGCCAGCCTCACGATGGGGCTACCTTTATTGCCAGGCTGATTCAAATAAAAAAATTCCGGCATCACTGAAGCTGAGTTTATGGAAGAAATGATTCAACAGTCTGTTAAATGAAATATTTCACCAGTCTGTTCATCCGTAGAGGATGAACTCGAATCCTCAACCGATGATGTTGAGAAAGTTTGAATACCGATTGCCTTTTTTCCAAATCTGGAAGCGGCGGGACTGGATGGCTTACCGACTGAGCTATTCATATGAGGTGGCATAGAACTGCCGGGGTGCATGCTTATTTGCAGAATATATTACGATGAAATGGCCGATGTTTGGAACCTATGTTTGTTCTGCTCAACAAAAAAAAAAGCAGTCCGTGCCAATTATGGAATGATTGATCTCTTTGAAATCGCACTGTGTCCTTATGCATCGAGTGTATTTTAAGCGCAGATTTGGAAATGATTGAGAAGATTTCAGCTTCCCACCAGCATATCAACAAGCAATCGATCTATAAACTCTAACACAAAAAGCTAGGTGGGGGACTTTTGCTGAGCGGTGGTAAGAAATGCGCCACGTAAAGTTATTACGCCAGCGTTTCATTTTACAAACTAGTATCAATTTGTGGAGGTGTTTGATCAGCAGGCGGCAATTTTTTTGCGTTGTTTGGAGCAGAAATCGGATGGTTGTTATGCTTTTGAAGTCTATCCATTTGTTTGCTTGGCTGCGCTGTATATTATAGAAGGTTAGTGTAGTTTATATTTTGGTTTTAAATAAAACAAATTTTCCATGAAAATTTCTGAACTTTCAGAAACCGTAATGCGCACTAAAGTGGGCGCGCAAACTGATGCCAATAGAGATCATGTGTTGGCAGTAAACAACTGAGTTTCAAATTCGGTGTGTGTCTTTGATAAATGCAAAGTCATAGCCTAAATGTAGGCAATGTTTTAATAAACCTTCTTAAATTACATAAAAACGTTTCATAAATTTAAGCTGATACTTTATCTCACTTTTTAGAGCTACAAAAATAATTTACTGGCGCTTTATAAACTTTACTCAACAACGAGATTTATACTCTGTCCGCACCTCAAGTAGCTGCCAATGCATTGCATTAAGATATTAAATACTTTCACCACCAATGTTATAGAGCAAAGAAGACTCCAGCTTGTACGGTAAGATGGTAAACTGTTAAGCAACGAAGCTATACGCGAAGAGGTTGACACTTTTATGTTTGAAAGGCACGATACAACTACTTCGGCAATTCGATTTTGCATTGCACCTCATCGCACGGCATGCCGAGGTGCATTAGAAAATTTTTGAAGAAATTCCATTATTGGTGGTGACGATCCAAAACAGCCGCTCAGTCACTCAATGAATTGGAATATATTGAGTGTGTAATCAAGGAGATACTATTATGACGACGGTAAACTCTGCATATGACGTAGGCTGCTTCTTTTCTCGGCAAAGTATATATCAAGACTAGACAAGATGGTATAAAAGAACAGTTAGGCGAGTGAACTCACTTGTAAGGTGATTAGAAAAATTTTAATATTGACCGAAGTGAGCGGAACAAAGATTTTACTCCACCTAAAAATAACCTGACGTTATAACCGGACACTGTCTTTTAGGGACTCATGGTAGAAGAATGGGCTGCGCAACTGCAAAGACAGGGATGAGGATGAATCGGTAGAACAATTTCTCTGCGTTTGCTCAGCCCTCAGTGCCTTATCGTTGTCTCGGTAATTTCTTCTTCTACTGCCTGCTAGAGCTTGCATCTATTCATTTATTTCCTCTAATTCATAAAGCACTAAGTGATTTGAGCACCTGAAAGGTGAAATTAATCTCATTCACTGCTCCAACACAGGTATCAGAAGTCACCAGTAGGTCTGAGATCGATTGACCAGGGTTCCGCGAACGAGAAACTTCTTTAACTAACTCACTAACTTTGTCAAACTTCTGCAGCTGTGGAGCCATAGACCGCTTGTGAGATCAGCGAACGGCGGTTTCACCCCTTAATACAATCGTGAGGCTTGACTTGACTTGCATTGGAGAACGACTAGTTCCTCATCATAGTTTTTCAAACTCTCAAAATTTACTTGCACCAAGAGTTCGAAATTGGTTTGCTGTAAGTCTCAAGCTCAATATTATGGGACTGCACTGTTAGCACGCCACTATTTTCCGGGCGGTTATGGGTTAAAATGTCATTAAGTTTTTTTTTATGTAAAAACACACGCATATATTCGCAAACCCGTAGTTCAAGCTCCGTCTATATGTATGCATATCTTAGGCTTGTGAAATCCACTTCCGTAAATTAGTGCTAAATGACACACATTTGTATGTTTGTATGTAGTACATGGTGGTACAAAAATGCGGTTGCCGTTGACTCGCCTAAAATTGTTTTCTTACTCATCCACATGCGACTCCAACAAACTTATCGCTCTCTAAACCAGATATTTGCACACTCATCATCAGGTAAGCTCTCCTATAGTCATCCCGCTTGCACAACGCTTGCGAGTGACCTGAGAGCCGAGACGCGGACACTTTCACACATTTTACCTTTAATCTGCGTACACAATTTGCGGTTGATCAACAAATAAACAAAATCAGCGAACCAAAACAAATACGGTGGGAGCCACTTGCTTGCTGGTGTTGTGTGTGGCTAGAGATCTTTTAGCCAAACAAGTAATTTGTCAGAGAAAGACATCTCATCGTTATTGAAAAGGCATTGTACAGTTTGAATTGCGTATTTATGTTTATTTTGGTAGTAAAGATGTTAACTCTGCGGTTAAAAATTTTTATGAATTAGCACATTGATCCAGCGGTTAGAGATCGTCGAAGACGCAAGAGATAAGTTCGTAACGGTTGCACTGGAAAATAGCAGCAGCGTAACAGAAATAATTGGAGTGGAAGCAGCAGCATTGGGACAGCAGCAGCAGCGGCAGCAGTGGCGCCAGGTGGTGATCGTGCGCGCAGTAAATCTCACAGTCTCTTCTCAAACGCAGTAGCCACCACACCAGCTGATATCTGGGTACCTGAGCGTCCGATTTCGTGTTACGTTGCAGCTCCGTTTTGTGCATCCATTCACATTGTGTTGGACACATTCAGTTGGCTACAGACATTTTGATGGATACATACACCGTGTTGCAATGATCGTCATTTGCATATTCATTTCGCTAACAGTAATTTCGGCTGTGAACTATTTTAAAACTCGTCGAAAACGTGCGCTCATCAAAAATCTAAGCGGTCCCTTCTCGCTGCCATTGGTCGGTTCGGTGCAAAAGCTCTTACTGCTGACGCCGAGAAGTGAGTTAAAGAAAAGTGTTTTTGTTTTTAGCTTTTTTTTTTTTTTTGCTTTTTGCCTTTTACCATACTTTAAATGTTGGCGCACTCAAAAATGTGTGAAAGAAGTCGAAAAAACTTTTTTTTGTACAAAATGGGTTTGGCTTTCAGTTGAGCATTTATGCTGAAAAGTGAGATTGAGGATCGCAAGTAGCCACACCTAAGCCATTGGGTGGGTTCATTGTACTCCCTCGTATCCGAAGACTGTTGGATTATGAATCAACAAGCTTAGTGGAACTCTGGCTTTAGCCAATAAACGCTTTGTTGGTTGCCACTTTGGTATTTTTGAGAAGTGTTCTGTTAAAGGTAAGGTTAAGGAGTAAGCTGAGTCGAAGGACCAGTGGTGCTCATATTATGGTAGGTTTATTTACGTGATTAATCATGAAATATGAGGCGCAGTTTCGCCTCCTCATAACAGCAACATGTCGGTTGCCATAGTTGCAAGTTTTAGTAAGGTAACTGTGAATAGCAAGGGAGGCTAACATCTTGAAGCTACCCAACCGTGCAATATCATACAATAATACTAATGATTGATCTTAGCTTTATACAATGGTCTTACTGATTTGTGTAGGTCGAAACATTGTATTCTTCCCGAAGTAATCCATAGAAACTCAAACTTTTAAGGGAGTGAAACGAGCATTGACTGGGGATTGATATGAAGACCGATAATGATGAATTATAAATGATATTCATGATTTTGGGAAAGAAGAACAGCTCGCGCTGCCTAATAAGAGGCTTAAAAGCCGCATATTAACTAAGTCTCGATACCTATCCGGATTACTTTACAAGGTATCCATGACGTAGAATGTGTTTTAAAGCTTCCTTTAGGGAAAGGAATGTGAAACTTCCAAATTCTAAAGATTATTTCAGCTTTAACATTCTAGACCTTCGAAAAACTCGAGTGACGGTAGAGGCTTCCGAGTTAAGCTCGACAGAATATACATTCAAGCAACTTTTTTCTAGTAAACTTAAGTCAAAATGATAACAATGATTTTGAAGGTCCATCTCAAATATCATTCACGAATGTTCACAAACTACACAGCTCAGCTAACCTCCACTTTTTTGAAAACCTAACCATAAAAATATTTATCTTTATAAAAAACGAAAGTGAAATTTTCACAGATTTTCTCACCAAGTCACGCAATTATCTTAACAAGTTCGGCACGCTCTCGCACTGTTGGGTCTTCGATCGGCTCTTCATACTCACCGCCGACTATGAATTTGTCACACAACTGCTACGCAGCGCCGATCATTTGAATACGGGCTACAACAATCTGTTGCAACCGATCTACGGTGTGGGATTGTTGCGACAAGATGCCGATGAATGGCAGCGGCGCAGACAGTTGGTCATGCATGCATTGCGTCCAGAGATATTGACTGATTTTGTGGAGGTGTTTGCAGCACAAGCACAAACGCTGGTAGAGCGGTTGCGCAGCGTATGCGATGGAAAGAGCAGTTTCGATATACAACCATATGTGGAGAGCGCGGTCTTGGATGTGCTCATTGCAAGCGCAGTGGGTGTGGAGAGTAAAGTGGAAAGCGAGCAAGCGCAACCGGCAGTGCATGGAGAGTATGCGCAAACTGTGTTGGCGTAAGTTGATGCAAACTGTTAGCTATGTTTGATGTTTTCTTTTATTTTTATTTCTTTTATACACTACTTTCAGTCTCATCGAACTCTTCACATCGCGCTTCTTGAGTCTACACTCTGCGAATTCCACAATCTATAGCATACTCTGTCCGCTAAAAAAGCGTCGTCAACAGAGGCTATTGAAGACGCTCAGACGCATAAACAATGAACTGATTGTGGAGCAACGCGCTCTAGCAAAAACAACAGTCACGACTGATAAATCGAATGACGCGATCTATACAATCGAAGTGGATGCGTCACGGCGACTTGACACACTTTTAAAGCAATTGCTCACAGCGAATGTGGACGGCTCGTCGTTGAGTGATGCGGAAATTTGTGATGAGCTCAATACGTTCATCTTTCAAGGTAGTCTGCTCACACCGGCGGCTATATCGTTCACGCTGGTGGCTATTTCGCGACATCCAAGCGTACAACAAAAGGTACTCGAGGAGTTACATGGAGTGTGGCCAAAAGGCACAACCTGTACGTGTACTGTGGAGAGCTTATCGAAACTGAAATATTTGGCAAATGTTATCAACGAGTCGTTGAGATTATATCCACCGCAACCGATAATCGCGCGCGATTTGAATAAAAATTTCAATTACAGTGAGTCTTAAATCAAGTCAAACAATTCTCGGTTAAAAATATTTTTTGATTGCAGCGCATTCTCACTACAAAGATGGCGTGTTACCCGCTGAGTCTGAGATCTACATAAATCTCTTTGAAATGCTCCGCCAGGCAGAGAGTTTTGCTAATCCCGACTGTTTTCGGCCGGAGCGATTTAATTCTGCGGAAAGGGATACAGATTTGCTTGCCTGGGGTCTCGGTCCACGGAACTGTGTAGCTAGGAGGTATACCATGCTGCTGATGAAATCTGTGATTGCCCAAATATTATTGGCTTATGAAGTGTTGCCGTTTGGCAAAGAGTTGTGCTTGGAAGTGAAACTGGTTTTGTGTTCTTCGAGTGGTTGGCAAGTGGCTTTGAGAGAGAGAAATGTTGATTAGATAGCTTAGGGTTCAGTATTTTTTTATACTGTTTTATACAATTTTTATATGCGTTTAAACAAATTATTTAAAAGTTATTAAATTATAAAAATTAAATTAATCACAAAAAAATTATTGATTGAATTCTCCTTATGGTAAAAAATATTCGGGAGGATATTGAAAACAATTACAAATTAGCTTCCAATACATATACATAGTTCCTTCGATTGGTATCATTTTTATTTTTATAAATTATTATTCCGACAAGATAGAAACTCTTAGTACGCATGCGTTTTGCAGAGACTGGAACACAGATATAAAAACAAACGACGCTTTTATTGACATCAGCAAGCACACGAATGCAATCCACGATGTTGCCTCAACATGTTGCAGGGAGCAAAGAAGGCAAAATTTAAAAATTCAAATGGAAAAGCATAAATTATTTATTCTTAAAAATATATTACAGGATAAAATATGTAAATTATATAAAAATTATATGAATCTAAATAAAATATAATAAAATTAAATAAATTAAAACAAAATAAAATGGGATAAAAAAAATTTTAAATAAATAAAAAAATAAAATAGAATAATAATGTTAATAAAAAAAAGAAAGAAAAAAAACAAAATGAAAAATATATAAAATAAATAAAAAAATCAAATAAATAAAATAAAATAACACAAAAATTAAATGAAATAAAATAAAGTAAAAGAATAAATAAAAAATTGAATTAAATATAAATTAAATTAAATGTAATTTAAATTGAAGAAAATAAAATAAAATAATATAAAATAGAATAAAATAAAATGGCATAAAAGATAAATGACATAAAACAAAATAAAATAAAATTTAAACATTGAAGTAAATTAGTATTTCAACCAAAATAAACTATTTTCAAATGAAAAAAATAGAAAATAAAATTAAAGAAAATAAAAAAAAATTGGAAAAAATAAAACACAATGAAATGAAATAATTTAAAACAAAAGTAAATATAACTAAAAAAAAACATAATAAAATAAAATAAATAATTAACTAACTTAACTTTATTTAATTTATTATTTATTATTTAATTTATTAAATTAAATTATATAACGTAAAATGAAGTGAAATAATATAAAAACACAAAAATTAACTGAAAATTTATATAAACGATAATAAAATAAAATAATATAAAACAATTTGGAAAAATAAAATGAATTAAATTAAATTAAAAAAATTAAATCAAACAAAAAATAGGAGTTATTTAGAAATTAAAATGATGAAAGAAAAATTGAAATAAAACAAACTAAAATAAATTAAGAAAATATATTATCAAATAAAATAAAACAAATTTTTGAACAGAATGAAACGAAAAATAATAAAATAAAACATTACAAAATTAAATTAATTTTTATGAAATAAAATGGGCTGAGCTAAAATAAAATAAAATGGAATAAAAAATAAATGAAATATAACAAACTAAAATGAAATTAAAAAATTAAAAAAATTAGCAGAATTAATATAAAATTTAAAACAAAATAAAATATATTAAAATAAAATAATAATATAAAATAAAATAAAATAAAATAAAATAAAATAAAATAAAATAAAATAAAATAAAATAAAATAAAAAAAAAAATTAAAAAATTAAATGAAATAATTATTTGACCAATATAAAATAAAATTAAATTTTATAAAATAAAATAAAGTAAGTAAGTAAAATAAAATAGATTAAAAAATAAATGAAATAAAACAAACTTAACTAAAATTAAAAATTTTAAAAAATATGTAAAATTTAAAAAAAATTAAATAGAATGAATTTTAATAAAAAAAAATTAAGATAAAATAAAATAAAAAGTAATAAAATATAAAAGTAAAATAATTTAAAAATATTAAAAAATTAAGTAGGTTAAGCAAAATAAATTTTTAACCAAATTAAAATATATTAATATGAATAAAATTAAATAAAAATAGAAAAAATACAATGAAACAATATAAAAAAGTAACTGTATAAAAAATTAATTCAAATAACCAAGTAATTAACTAACTTAGTTTATTTATATTAAAATGAAATGAAATTAAATAATATAAAGTAACAAAGAATAAATTAAAATAAAATCTATAAAATAATATAAAATAAAATAGTATAAAATTAAATAGAAATATTAAATGAAATAAATTAAATAAAACAAAAAGTAAGAGTTCTCTAGAAATTAAAATGATGACGTTTTTCTCATTATTTGCAAAATTTAAGCGCTTTTCCAACTTTCTTCAATGATTATTCTACTTAAAATTATAACCAGAATATTCCATAATGCGTATTTAATATTCAATACATCTCCGTGGCAAATCAATTATTTTCCCTCCACTCACTGTTTTGCTATTGAAACATCAATAATTTCTTACCCCAAAAAAGCTTTTCATCATTTCTTAACGTTCAGTACCAAACTAAGCAATGAATCAGACAATGATTGGCTAAGACTGAAAATTCCAATACATACAAAAGGAGTGGTGTTCGAACATGTTTTCTCCAAGGATGTGTTGTACTCAATACAAAACTGTTTAACTGTATTCTAGCGAGAGTACAAGTCGATGTTTATGTATATAAGTATGTATGCAAGTTGGATATATAAAAGTAGCAACAACAATATGGGCAACAAATGTTGTAAAGAAACAACATTGGTTGAAAACATATATGTATATGTATGTATACACAAGCTCCCTATATGCTTCAATGTATTTATTAGTGAAGGAGGTGTTGTTAACAGCGGTGTAGAGGTGATGAGAACTGCTAGCATAATTTGTAGCAAAATTTAAGTTGCTACTGCAAGATTTTTTCATAGAAAAATTTCATACACTACGATTTAGTTGTTTTTGTATTTTTTTTTTGGTGAAAAATGAAATTCTTCCGCTCTGACACATGCCGCTGGTTATAAATTCCTCTGGCTTCCTTGATAGTGCATAGGGTAAACGATGATAACAGAGAAGCTTAACAGCGGCCAAATATATGTAATGGGTGCTGGTATTTACAGGCGCAGCATAGTTTACAGTGTTGATAAGTGACAGAGTAACAGTGGTTAAAAATTTTCAGTTAGTTTGTGGCTGTCAGTCGAGAAGGATGCTCTAACGTGGCTGAGTAGAAGGGATATTTTGAAATTTACGTAGTTAAGTTCATTAATTCGGTTTCATTAATACTTCAAATATTATTTGGAAGTAAATTCTTTTCATGCTTACAAAAATCGCACGTTTGTCATACCATTCCTACATGATTGTATAGAAACTTGTACAACACTCACTGAGTTAACATCAGAAGTTTTTGAGAGAAATATTAGCAATCAGCTGATGGAAATATCTCAGAGGGCAGATCGGGAACTGTATTAGATATACGACGATACACATAGATATGAAGTGGAAGTGAAATGGTTCAGCAGATAAAAACAAATAATTCAATAACATCAATACCCACTGGTTGCACAGAAAAGAAGGAAGACCTTCACTACGTTGGAGGGATTAAGTAGAGAAATAGAGATCTCGACGCGTTTGGTATCTTCAATTATGGTCATTATCGCTATTAAGTCTTTTAAGTGTGTCGCAGAGTAAATCAAGGACCTGAACGTTCCAACATAGAATACACGTAATATCGGAGCATGTGTGGTAGTGAAGGATAAAAATTATTATTATGAGGAGAAGGGACGTGACCCTTGGGTTGTACGTCATGCGCTGTCGTTTCTCTCTGCTGTGGATTTAATTGGTGTGAGATGAAGGCGATCCAATACGACATTGCTCTGACGGATATGGAACTTATACAGGAGAATAATTGCAACGTAAAAAGTGGTTCCGAGTAAATCGAATTCGTCTATATAATTACTCGTATATATAAAACACCCTTTCTGTTTTACTACTGCGGTAATTTTTCATTGGAACATAACGGTCAAGGGAGATATATAATATTGAATTCCATCTAAGGTTTTTATAATGACTTCTGCGACTCGCTTTGTAAGAAGAAGTGGGAAGTACAGGGTAGCCCTACAAGAGTTCGGTTTAAGACGTGGATGAACCAATATTTCAAAAGATTTTTTTTAACGCCTTTACTACACAGTCGTTAATCCAAAGACCTGCACATATAACAATTTGGGGAAAAAGCTCTGCCAAATATTGCTTTTTCGATTAAAAAGTATTATCGGCCGCGATAGCCGAGTGGCTCGAATTGCGTACTTCTGACTTCCCGAAGGGCAACTAACATCCAAAAATTAATTTAAAATAAAAAAAAAGTACTTTTTTCTAATTGAGGTTGCCTCTCATCAGTGAATGTCAACTCCTTCGAACTCCAATCAGCCATTGGGAGGCGGCTTAGAATAAATTGTTGGCCCCTCCTTGTCTTGGAAAAATAAAAACGCATACCAAGAATTTAAGCAGGAGCTCAACTGAAAATCGCTTCAGCGGCTACATATGTATAGATATTTATTTTCCATATGCTCAGAGGTTCTTTCTTCAATGTTTTGGCAGAGAGCTCTGATGCTCTGATCTCGAATTAAAGGTAGAAATAGAAGTCCTCACACCCACATAACAGTAATAGACTGTGTTCCACTCACACAAACTGTCGTACCAAAATTTCCATACATTAATCGCTTTATCACACGTTACGTTGTCGTAAGTCCTTGAGCAATCCTTTCTGCTAAGCCAATAATTCCACCAGACTACATTACACCGTTGAGTACCAGGCTAATTTTCCGCTATAAATATTTAATTTTATTTAACCAATTGGGAGCGTAACAGCAAAACCACACACAACCGCACACACACACAGTCACACCTAATGTCTCCATTTATCGAGTCGCATATCCTTGACTACAATCACAATCACAATCACTTTGAGAGCAACAAAAAGCAGCAACAAATGAAAATATAATAAAGAGTCAAAAGTTCTTATTTGTGTGATCCTTTCAGGCGGAATTCTTTGAATATAAAAGCATCTGTTGAATTTCCGACTATTTGTTTTTTTTTTTGTTTTTGCTGTGGAAAACTCCCAAACCCAAAATTACCAAAATAGTTGAGTATCCTTGCGATTATCCTTAAATAATAACAATA